CACGGGCCCAGCCGCTCCGCGGCATGTGGGATCCTCCCGGACCGGGGCACGAACCCGTGTCCCCTGCATTGGCAGGTGGACTCTCAACCCCTGCGCCACCAGGGAAGCCCTTAACCGTTTTTAAGTACACAGTTCAAGAGTGTTAAATACATTCACATTGTTGTGCAACCAATCTACTGAACTCTTTTCTTCTTGCAAACCTGAAACTAGATACCCATTAAACTACAACTTCCCATTCTCCCCTACCCCTGGCCCTGGGAACTACCATTCTACTTTCTGTCTTTGTGAATTTGACTAGTCAAGGCACCTCATATAAGTGGGATCTTACGTGTTTGTCTTTTTGTGACTGGCCTATTGCACTTGGAATAATGTCTTCAAGGTTCATCCATGTCATAGTATGTGTCAGAATCTCCTTCGTTTTTAAGGCTGACTAATATTCCATTGTAAGTACATATAGACCACATTTTGTTCATCATTCATTCATCCCTGAACACTTGGTTTGCCTCCACCATTTGGCTATTATGACTAATGCTGCTATGAACTTGGGTGTATAAGTATCTCTTCAAGACCCTGCTTTCGATTCTTTTGGGCATACACACCCAGAAGTGAAATTGCTGGATCACATGGAAATTCTATTTTTAATGTTTTGAGGAACTGACATGCTGTTTTCCATAGTGACTGCACCATTTTACATTCCCACTAGTGGTGCACAAGTGTTCCAATCTCTCCACAACCTCTTCAACGCTTGTTATTTTCTCTTTTTTTGACAGTATCTAGCCTAAAGGGGTTGAAGTGGAATCTCATTGTGGGTTCACTTTGTATTCTCCTAATATTTAGTTATGTTGAGTATGTTTTTACGTGCTTTTTGGCCATTTGTATTTCTCCTGTGGCGAAATGTCTATTCAAATCTTTTGCAGACAATATAGAATTTAAATTGATAGCAATAACAATATGACTACTACTGCTATGGATGATCATTCATTAATCTGATCATTTTTATGTGGCCTCATCTGTGCCAGAGCCCACTCTAGGAATTAGAGATACAACAGAGGGAAAAATAGACAAAAATTCCTCCTCTCAAGGAGCTTACGTACAAAATAAATGAGTAAAATATAGAATATATTAGGAAATGATAAGAGTAATGGAAAAACCAAAGTGCAGAAGGAAGATAGGAATTGGGAAGGGATTGGGTTTTAGATAGGGTGGCTAGGAAAAGCTTCCCTAAGAAGGTGCAGACAGTTTTGAAGAAAGTGAGGTAGTGAGTGGTAGCAGTATCCAAGGAAAGAAATTTCTAGACAGGAAACAACCAGCACAAAACCCCAAGGCAGAAGTATGCCTGGTGTCAGTGTCAGTGCCATTGGGCTGGCGTCTAGGGAAAGGAAGGATAACAGGAGAGGAGGGCTGAGGTAGGGGTGTGTGTGTGTGTGTGCATGCGCACACATATGCCCAGTCAGGTAAATCCTTGTAAGATTTGCCAGATAAAATATAGATGCTCCATTAAATTTTAATTTAATTTCAGTTAAACAACAAATACTTTTTAAAAGTACAAGTATGTCCCAAATATTGTATGAAACATGCTTGTACTAAACATTATTCATTTAACTGGGCCCTTATATTTTTATTTGCTAAATCTGACAATGCTCCTCGTAGGCTATTGTAATGACTAGCTTTTACTCAGGGTCAGATGGGGAGTAACACCATCTGATTTAGCTTTAACAAGGTCACTTGCTGCTGTGTTGAGAATATACCCCAGGGAAGCAATAATAGAAACAGAGAGACCAGAGAGGAGGATGTTGCATTAATCTACACAAGAGATGATAGTAGCTTGGACCAGAGTAGTAGCAGTAGAGGTGGTGATAAGGGGTCAGATTTTGAAGGTCATTATCAATTTTATACATGTGCTTCTCCTTCTAGTAATTTTAAAAGAGAATATCCAAAGCAGGCAATGTTTTGTCTAAAGGAATGACTCTTCATTCATCCAAAAAACCATTTATTTAGCATTTGTACTGTACTAGCACTGACACCATACTAGCTGCACACAGTTAAATAAAAACCCAATCTCAGGACTCAAGGAATTTGTAGTGTAGCTGGCAGAATTCCGACTATGTGCTGTCTGGTTTAGGGGAAATACTCGAGGCAAACATGCTTGGTACCCAGAAGTCCTATCAAGTAGATGGCATCCATTATCTTATAAGAAGGGTGGCCATATAGTTTATCATCCAAACTGGGATACTTCTGAGACTGAAAAGTTGTGTTACTAATAATTACGCCAGGTAAAGAGCTGCAAATCAGCACTGCCCCAGGCGAACTCAGATCTAAGGTCTTTGTACTCTTGAGGTCCACTCCAATAGTGGTTTTGAGTACAGGTGGTGAGAAAGGGGCATAACATGTCGCCGACTTGTAAACTTTTAAATGAATTCCCATGGTTTACCTATCAACCACAAGAAATAAAATATTTATTATCTAAAAAATTAGGAATAACATGCAGGCAAAATAAAGGAATATTGGCCACAGGGCAAGATGTTTGTATGTTTATCAGTTGGTTTGCCATAGATTATCTGGATGTGAATCTGTAGTTATCCTTATAACAAATGTTCCGTTCACTGTGTAGGGAAAAAGCATGGTTAAGTGAAATTTGATCTGACTTATAAAGAGTATAGAGAAAGCTCCTTATGCCTTCCTTTCTTTGGATGGTATTATTTTGGCTCGTCATGTCTTGCTTGTTGAAAAGTGCTTGTTATTCTTACTAAGTGACTTAAGGGTTTTTAGACATCACTATTATCCTTAGACCAATGAGGAAAAAGCATGTGAAGTATTTACAGCTTTATTGCAAGTTTTATGTGCTGGAAGTAAGGTATATATATCCTACCTTATGGAAGGAGTCTATTTTCTGCTACTGAATCAGGCCTGGGGGCTTTTTGGTCACTGCAGTGAGAGTGCTCGTGAGTAAATTCAGATGCGTTTTAGTGCATGGTAATGTGATTTTTAAAATTGTTCAAACAATCAATTTACTGTTGTCATCACATCTCTTCAGATTTTCCAGTGCAAATTTGACACCATTGTTCTTATTAACAATTAAAAAAAAAGTTTTGGCCCTCAAGTTTCCATTATAAGGGATGCATTCTTGAAGTTATCGTTACATTAAAATTCTTACTACAAATGAAGCCAGCTAAAAATGTTTACCAACTTGAATTGAGCTCATCATGTTTTGTTTGCTGAATAGTGTTTTGTGATTTCACCAACATAAGAATGAGTCTCCAAACTATTTTTAAAAGTAGAGCTTTTACTCTAAAGAAGTGCTTGCCTCATTTTCTTCGTGCTACTCCAAACAAGATGTTGTTTATTACTTTGAAACACTATATGTAAACCCCAGGAATATGTTAAATATGATTGAAGTCTTGGCTGTCTTTAACAAATTGAAGTTTCCAGAAATTTAGCTGTGTTTAAAAACCAAAGCCATGTTTTCAGGAAAGATTTCTATTTCCAAATATGTGGTTGCCCAAACCTTTTATATTTTCATGTCAAATTCAGCTGCCAAATAACACACACTGTACCTTAGCTATAATAGCAAAACACACATAGACTTCAGATTTTAAGAAGCACTGCAAGAACAACTATGATCATATTTCTTGAACTTGTGCTATGCATATGCATAGAAGTGTGTTTTAGAGTAAGCTGTGTAAGGCACCGGTCACTTACACTGGTACAAATTGACATGCACAGCACAAGATTTGTACTGTGTGACAACTGATCTGGGAAAGTACAGGAATTCCTAGCCAGACCAAAATGAGGTCAAGGAAGTCGCTTTTATAATAATAGTGGTTATCTGTTGAATGTGTGATCTGGCAGTGATATGATATTGACCATAGGCGATTATGCATATTTCTAAACTGGTTGTGATCAAGCCCGGAGTAAGAGAAATCCCCTAGTTTGTGATAAAAGGCTATTTATTGCCCTTTTATTTCCTTCATATGCTTTACTTAATCATTTATAAAAGACAAATTAAAAGTGAATACTAATTTCATTTTGTGTTTTATTCTGTATTCTTTCCTACACGTTAGGGATATCTATTAATACATGCTCTTAATAGTTTTGGCACAAGTTCAATGTCAAGGAATGAATGAGGTACTCATTTTATAGTCTTCTTAAGGGACAATAATGTGGTTCAGTGACAATGTGTCTTTATTTCTTTGGGGGCAGGGTTCTCTGATATGAGTCATAAGGGATAGAGACCTATTAGTTATTTTTTTCTCAGCTAGTGCAATGATGCAAAATTTTTGTTCCACTATAATGCATTTTCTTAGAATGGCATTATCAGGAATAGTGTATAGATTAATGCCTGAGAAACTGGTTGATCACACGGGATTTTACTTTCCTTTATCCCTTCAATGTGACTGAAAACTCATATTCTATATTTTCATATCAATGACAATGTGATGACACAGCAAAGGAGTTATATTGGCTTGTTGCACACATCAACTGTAGTCTTCTTTTCTTTGTGGAAAAAATATGTTTATTTTGAACAAGAAAAAAGAAACTTGAGCGTTTTAAGTATCAGGAAGGCGACGTTAGAGAGGATGTTGGCTGTTGTTGGCTGTTGTTTACCTACTCCGTGGGCAGAACAAGGAGAAATGGGATTGAATTTTAGTAAGACAGGTTTCAATTAGCCATGCAGAAGCACTTACGTAACACACCACAATGGGTTGCAATGGCTACCTTCTTTATTCCCAGGGACTCCTTCTGCTCTATTCACCAGGGCTCAGCACAGTGCCTGGCACAGAGGAGGTGCTCAACTAATATCAAATGAATAAAGAGAAAGAAGGAATTAGGGAGATGCTTATAAAAAACATAATAAGGTATTAATTTTAAGGTTTAACAGTGCCATTGTTTTAGAACATCTGCAAGGAAATCAAAATTGTAAATATTGAAGAATCTCCCTGGAATTTTAAAATGATAACAATATGCCATATTTACCTATACAGTTTCCATTTTTTCCTCAGACATTTTTCCTTTAAAGCAGTACAGTATAAAGGATATGGAGCTGTCATATTGACAGTAGTGGGCTGGGAGACTTCTGGCTCCAGCACAATTCACTACTTGTGGAGAGCCAGGGCTATTAGCTGCAGTGGTTGCCTTCAAGAAGCCTCTGAAGATGGAATATTCTGGAGATGTTAAGAGGTACGCATTTTGTCTATTTCTGAAGGGTTTTTCCACTGAGTGCTTTTATGTTTTTTGTGGGTGAGAGGGAATGTGGTCAGTTATATATTATTCTTTCTAACGTTCAGCTGGACCTCAAGAGAGGATCTTATTTGAAAGATGTAAAAAAAAGCTTCAAGCAAGGAGCCAAGTGTAGCCACCAGACATTGAGGAGTTCTGAGTGCTCAGAGAAGGTACCCCTTCCACCACATGTGGACTGCTTGTCAGAGGACCGGCCAGTGCCAGATGCCAACCAGAGAAGGCCAGTCAGCATTGCACAGCGCCCAACCCTTGGGTTGGGGTTTGGTGGCTCAGGCTCCAGGGACTTCTGTGCTAGGTTTCTGGTGCAGATGGTATCTGGGGCTGATATGGGCGGGGCCATCTCATTCATTAGGAACTGAAGGCACTCCAGAGCTTACAAGCTTCATGGGCCTAGGAAAATATTTAAGGCTTGATCACAATTATATTGGTTGCAAATTACAAGAAATACGAAATCCAGACTAATAAATACAAGCAAAATGCAGCGTTATGTCAGCTTTGAAAAGAGTATCGTAAAAATATCATTACACTTTTTTTTAAAAAATTAATTAATTTTTGGCTTCATTGGGTCTTCATTGCTGCGTGTGGGCTTTCTCTAGTTGCGTCGAGCAAGGGCTACTCTTTGTTGCAGTGTGTGGGCCTCTCACTGCGGTGGCCTCTCTCGCTGCAGAGCATGGGCTCTAGGCCCATGGGCTTCAGCAGTTGTGGCTCGTGGACTCCAGAGCGCAGGCTCAGCAGTTGTGGCGCATGGGCCCAGCTGCTCCATGGCATGTGGGATCTTCCTGGACCAGGGCTGGAACCCGGGTCCCCTGCATTGGCAGGCGGATTCTTAACCACTGCGCCACCAGGGAAGCCCAATATCATTACATTTGAAAACAGTTTTTAGGTTAAACATTTTCACTCTGCAAGCCTTCTTATGTGCTTGATGATGGGTTGAAAATAGTTGATTATAAATTTGGCGTATCACTTGAGAAACAAAATTATAAAGATTCCTTGAAATAAAATGATAAACATTGCTTCAAAATTTTTACAGCAAAATGATTTTACTTAATGTGGAACGTGAGTATATTTTAATCTGTTTGATATAATTGCTCTCTAGAAGTAATGGTACATGGGGTCTGCAGAGCGTTTAAGCTGCCTCAAATCTGGGAGACTGAATGGGAAAAAGTATGAGGTTAGGTATATTTTAAAGGGTGCTAAGAGAACATTACATAGATGCCTAGCAATATTTCCTTATAAAGTGAAGTATCCAATGAGCCCCTTGCTTTCAATGAAATATTTTATGGCATGCAGACAGATAACTTTGAAAGCGATGGATCTAATCCTTAAGTATATTCTACTTGATAGCCAACCTGGATGAGGAGAAGGTGATAATTTGACCTCATGTAAATAATGCTGTGCAGTGCATCTTGTGATGTGTGCTTTTATGTTAAAATGCTTAAAATTGGTTTAATCTGTACAGCCAGGACAAATGCTCATTGTTTTCTAGTTGACTATACTCCTTTGGCATAGCTTGTGTGTTGGGGAAGGGAGATGACACCTCCAGTTTCAGTAAGAGGAGTTGTCAGTGAATGTACAGCTCTCTCTGAAGTAGAGTTATTTCTTAGCATGCTCTGAGCTTTGCCTGATAATGTGAAATGACTATTTTAAAGTATGTTTTATTCCTTACATAACCACACTATTTGCACATCAACAGATAAGAGTGCCCGGGTGCTTCCATTCCAGACTGCTCTTAATTATGTTTTTAACATCGTAGAAGGGCTATATTTGTAATTCAGTGAGTCCTTCAGTGCAGGCCATTAAATTTTGTTAATTAATATAGTTGTCTAGTATTTAGATAGAATAAATTACTCATTTTTTATTTCAGTATCTTGTATTCTTAACACATGCTTCTAGCTGTGACAGACCCTCAGGTGTACTTATGTAATAACAGCTTTAAGTTTCATTTTATCAATGTGCACACGTTTTGGATGTCATATTTCTACAGTGTTTTTAGCTTTCGCACCTTACTCTTTTTTCCTTTCACAGAACGCTATGAAGTATTTGTTGCAAGTATTAGTTTCATTCTTGATAGATGAGGCAACTGAAGGCATGGACTGTTGAAACTAGTTGCAAAGCCACAGTCTTTACTTAATCCCCAGGGAAGGGCTCTCTCCAGATTTCCAAAGGAATTCTCCCACAGCCTTTGATGAAAAAAGGCAGGATGTAGAGTTTTAGTGATTAATTCTCCAGCTCCATGCTCTTCCCTGGGTTAGCCCAATTCAAAGCATCTTTAGGTAGAAGCTAACCCACAAGCCCCATTAGGAAGGGGCCCCGAATGTCTTGTCCACCTGTGTTTCCTGGGCACAAGATCATAATAATGACTAATAAGCATTTGTTGACTCAGTGAATGAGTGAATAAATGAATGGGAGTAAAGGCTCCTAACAGAGGTTTGCCAATGGCACCTGGCGCCCTCTGCAAAGCTCAGGAACAGTGGGCCTCTATCTGACCAATGACATGGCACAACCTGTGAGGACACCACTGTCAAAATGGCTCTCTTGGCCTGGCTTTGTCCTCTCTGCCCGCTTCACTCTTTCCCCTCAGGGCATCTTGAGACCTGGGTCTGGTGCAGAGGCCACCAAGTTTTGATCTGTTCCTCTGCATCAGAAGAGGTTAGGAAGCATGAATCCTATTCAGATTGGATGAGGTAAGTGGAAGGGGGTTAAATGCCTCCCAGGTGGTGATGGGCTGGGCCTTACAGCAAAGGCATAGAGGGCGTTAGCCCTAGAACTGTGTCTGTGCAGCACTTCTGACCCGTATCTGCGTGGTTCAGCATGCCTCTGCTTCGGCACCAACCTCTCCTTCCTTCTGACCTTTCCCGGAGACAGCTAGCATGCTGTCCCCGCAAAATGGCCTTGGCTGAATTCTGCTGGGTGCAATGCTGCTGCCCTAAGGAAGGTGCAATAAACAGCCCTATGCGGTGCCTCGCACTGCGTGCTGGGAGCACATTGCTGAGGTAACTGTTCCTTGGTCTCTACCGAGCCTTCTAGAGGAGGGGCACAGGGACAAATTTCTCCATGGTCTCATAAACAGGAATAATTGCGTCTCTCCTGAGCAAATGGCTTCTTGTTTTAGGGAGACTGCAATTCATGTAATGGGTCATGTTTCCCTCTTTATGTAGCCTGCCTGAAGGCTCAGGTTCAAATTTACAGCCTACCCCCGGCAAGTATGTAAGACTTCCTTGCAAGAATTTTGTCTCTCTTATTTTCACTGTGTTTTTCCTTAGACTCATTTTATTCACCTATTTTAAATTTAGTTTATCTTATTGTACTGAATGCATTTTTGTCTCTTTGTATTTTGTTTGTTTGCTTTTTTAATAAACCAACTTAAATTCTTTTAAGAAAAAAAAAACAGGGTATAAAGAAATAAAAATAAAGACCCGTGAGTTCATGTAACACCTTTCAGTTTTTAAAAAAATTCCCCAGGCCTTAATTTCATACCTTTTCCTCCTCTGATCTCAACATCAGTCCATCACTGTCTAGTGTCATAATCCCTTCTGGAATTTTTTTTTTAAGGAATTTGACCATTATATTAAAAGTAAGGTGTTAATAGCTGATCCCTACAGCTGCTACTTTCTAGAAATGTGAATTTAGCTAAATTATTTAATCTTTTTCATTTGTAAGAAGAGTCATAATATTTATTTTGTCTGAAGGTTGTGAAGATTATGTGAAATACTGTTTGTAAAGTATCTAGTACCTTATTTGACACATGGTAAGCCTTTTGTTTAAAACAGTCTCATAAGTGGAAAGTGCACTGGACTCGGAATATAACGTCTCTGCTTTTTCACTCATTAGCTTATGACTTTGGGCAAATAAATTTTACTTGGAACCACATTTTAATCATATGTAATTTTATGGCATGGCTTAGAGAATCCTTACGGTTCTGGCTTTACTGTTATTCTTGGAATCTAAGGCTGGCCCTAAGTAACCTGTGAGAGTGTGCCCCCATTCTGTCCTCCCTAGAAATGGCATGGATATATTCACCTGGGCAAAGAAATGTCTGGGGAAAAGGGATCCAGATCTGAAGCAGGGAAACAAAACGGTCCATTGTGCTGGTCTTTATATTCTTCACTGGTGCCGATTATGATATTTGCAAGTGTAGTAGGGTCTTCTGGTATACCATGAATTGCTAGTGATTATAGTCCTGAACTCAAGTGGATTTCAAAACACATGCCATTATGGTTGCTGCTCTCTGTAGTGAAATGGTGTGTAACCCAGTCGTTTGGTGAATACATGGAGAGGTAGCAGTGGAACAAAGGGAGCTACTGTTGCTGGTCAATGACCCTGTTGGCCAATGACCACATTTGGTTCAGTCATGGAGGCAATCAAAACAAGTGTCTGTGTCCAAGATATGGTTTCTATTCAGGAACTAATGGGCAATAGGAGATCTCCAAAGCAAGAGGGAACTCATTTATCAAGAAGATAAATAAGAGTTTGTAATAGATAATGTAGAAGAATAATCTACACTGAAATGAAGCTACACTCTTAACAATTCAAGGTGCAGGGGAGCTTTGTGGTTAAGAGCACAGAATTCTTTAGTGTGTGGTTTTGACCAAGTTACTTAATCTCTCAAAGCCTCAGTTTCCTCATATCTCAGAAGAATATTGATACCTCATATGGTTGTTCTAAAGAGATAATATAAGTGCCAAGATATGTTACTCATGGGTAACTATTATTATTAAAACTATAAGTACTATTACAAACCTCAAATTCACACTGGACTTCAAGGTTTTGCTACCCCTAATCTAATAAACTATACACACTACAAGAATAAATGTTAAAAACAAACCATTAGGTGATCCAATGGTTTGTTGGAGTAGAGTGCATATGCAGAGAAAAAAATTCTAATAAATGTTTGAATCAGTGTACCATGTCCATTAGTTTTTGTCTCTGGGATCTCACTTTAAAAAGGTCGCCATCTACTTTTGCTTTTGGTTGATTTCATTCTGTGTGTATAAGTTGGGATTATAAAGTAAAGACACTAGTTTCCATGAACTTCCCCCACTACTCTATAATTCCGTTTTTTTCTACTTCTTTTGAAGCTTTCATCTCCTACCTTTGTGTGGGGTAAATGTAAATTAGCTCAGCTTGTTTTAAGAAAGCATTATGACCCTGAATCCTGAAAACTCTTTATTTTGTAACATAACTTTAAAAATGGTAAAAAAACTAACCCAGAAGAAAGTGAGTGGTAAGAGACTGTGGTACTACTGTTACAAAAACAGAGAAACCACTGAAAACTAGTCTGGTTTGGGTTCAAGTATTTTTGTTTCCATGAGCTTTAACTTTTGCTTGGTCCACTGAAAATTCAGAGAAATTTTGAGATTCTAAGTGGTAACAATGTGTGGTAGTTACAGCCTCAGAACAGAGCACCTGGGAGTGGTGGTTTTCTTGTGTATCACTGTTTGAACCTTTCAGAAGAGAAGTGAAATTCTATAATCCAAGTTTCATTGATTTATTTAATTTTGACCTTCATTTTTATGTGCAGTCTCTCCTATGTCAAGTCACATGCTGGTCCATTTGGATTTGAAAGTTTATAGATAATTTTGCAGGCAGTATTTTCATAGAAAAGAAATTAGAACTGAAAACTAGGATTCTGGCTGCCTGGCACTTAAAAATCATGCTACCCTTAATTCAGTTTTTAAAAGATGTTCCATATTTATTTATTGATTATTGAATTAATGCACTAGTTTTTACAAGTAATTTCTCTGCATTATTTTTTTATTTAAAAACTTTTTTGAGTTGTGGTTACAAAACAGAAGGTAAAATTTCCCATCTTAACCATTTTGAGTGTACAGTTCTGTAGTGTTAAGCACATTCACACTGTTGTCCAACAGAGTTCCAGAACTTTTTCATCTTGCAAAACCAAAACTCTAGACCCGTTAAATAACTACTCCCCATCTCCTCCTCCCCAACCCCGATCAGTTCAGTTTTGAAGTGGGGTATGTATATGTTTTGTGATTAGGTCATTTAGGTGAATTGCAAACTGTAGGGTACTGTGTGCTTACTTGAAAGTATGGACAAGAGGCAAGCATGAGTGTTCTTAGTGGGTACTGCTATCTCAGAGCCTTCATTTACTTAACTGAAAGTGTTTAAATAATGCTCAGGGTCCTGGCTGGGAAATGAACATCATGGAAGAGGTTTAAGTGAAAGAAAGAACGAGTGAGGTTCTGACACCCTGGTACAGATCTCCTCCACTTACTTAAAAAGTCAAGATGATGAGATCAAGTCATCTCATTGGCTATCTACCATCACTACCTTCATAGCTACCATGTACTAACATGATGGGTGAAATATGGCAAGATAATAATGACGATGATGGTGTTGATGTGACGGTGATCATGAGAATAGTGATCACTCAGACTCATGGATGTTCCATCTTCTATCAGATCTCTTGCCTGATAATGTTCCAAAGTTTGGAAACTGTGTTTGATGATACTCCTTTAGCCTCCACAAGGTTAAATTCATAGACCTCATGACCTAGAGTCACTTAAGACTTGGTTCTAGAGTGTTTCAGGTACGTTTTACATTAAACAAGTTTTTATGAGTCAATCTGGGAATTTAATTATCATTTATAAACTTGTTCCCTTGCTAAAAATGTATTTTGAGTCCAAAACAAATAAATTAAAAATTTTAAGGAAACGATCCTTTAAAGTAGGAAATTATCTCAACTTGTTCTTGTAATTCTATATCAGCATTTAATAAAATATTTTAATTTGGTTTTGGAATAAAAGCGATAGCTTAATTTTAATAATGGAGGAGAACAGTAGGATACCTAAAAAATGAACAGTATTGCATATAAGTTCTTTGAATTAATTAAATACAAAGTCATTTATATTTAGTTATTTGACTTTGAAATATAGGGTAAGTTTTTAAACTTTGAATGTTTTAATGATGTTTTTCTTATTTTGATGTTAACGTGAATTTTTACATCTCTCAACTCACATATTTTGCCTACTCTTGGCTAATCCTGAGTGGTAGGGAGAGCTAACCTAAAATTAAAAGTGTGTTTCAAACAATCTACAGATTAGTTGATCCAAGCACAGATAACCAAGTACAGATGGTGTTAGTACTACTTAGGTAGTGATGGGCTACAGGAAAATAGAATGAGAGGAATATGCAGTTTGGGTGAGCTATTTAACTGAATCTGGGTGGCAATATGCTTCCGAGAGTTTTTTAAGATCTTTCCAGTGGTGGAGTATATAGAGATAACTCCAGTATTAATTATAACGTTGGCATACGAAAAAAACCCATATGCTACATCTCTTACCTCATTCATTGCTTGTACTGATGAGCTGATTTGGTCTCTAATCCTGGGTTCTTTTCCTTTCTTGAAGCCCCATCTGATTCCCTCTCTCTTCGTTGATAGGGACACCCTTTCTGGTTGGAGGAAGACCATTTTTAAGACAAAAGAATATGGGTGGCTGCGCTCCTCTGCTAGGACCTACACCAGAGTTAATATGGTGAGTGCACTCTGACCAGACTGTCATCTACAACTTGGGGACATTAACCAATATGGAAAGTGTCCAGGGATATGTAGAAATGACACCGGATTAGAACCCTAGGGGCCTTGTGGATAGGTTTAAGGAAACAATAATAATTTCATCAGTATTTACCAACAGTTGAATGTTTTCCATGTGCCAGGTGCTGTATGTATCATCTTGTTTAACCTTTACAAAACCTTATAAGGTAAATCTTCTGACTAATCCCATTTTGAGATTAAAAAAACCCCAGAGATTTAGAGAAGTTAAATCATGTTCCTCAAGCTTATGCAGGTGGTAAAAGATCTGGGATTCACCCAAAGATTGCCAGACCCAAACACAAATATGTCAGTTATCCTCCTAGTGTTGCTACAGTGGTGGTGGGGATTTGAGACTTGGTTGCTGTACTTTGGGTGACCATTTTGCCTAGTTATTGCCAATTAGTTAAGTTTAAAGTCCTTTAAAAAGTTCTCCTTTGTTCTGCTTCCTTCCTCTTTTTTACGTCTGGTTATTTTCTTTGCTCTTCTCATATCACTCTCAGATTGGACACAAAGGTCATGATTCCTGCTCATTCTCTTCCCTCACTGCAAAACCTGGATTAATTAAGACAGAGGAGCCAGAAATATGGTGACCAGTCAGTTTCTCTTCCTGTGCACTTTAGCCCAGCTATCAGGATGAATTTAGATTAGGCATACTCAAGGATATACATGAGTAATAACTATAAGCTTTCTCATAGATAACTGTATTGGGTGTGTTTAAATGTACAACTCTGTTTTTCTATTATTATGTGATATTTCATGTTGACTTGTCAAACTGAAAAATACCCATATTGATTTTGCAGAAAGCTTCACATGTGAGATAAATGCACTCAAAGACTCCTCACAAGTAGCTCTTTGGAGCTTCAGATGTGAAATGGATCATTCCTCAATCTGTAATAGACCCTTCTGTGAAGCTCTTCAATCAAACCTGAGAATTCAAGGTGAAATTGAGGGGAGGATGGGAAACCCCTACAGGGGGATTTGAGTAAAGTGGCTGAGCGAAAACCTGGGGTACTTGCTGAGTCTTTTCTTCATTTCTTTTCTTGAGCATAGGAAGACTGTCAATCACTGTGTGACCTTACATGCTGTATGTGTGTAATGCCTGGGTACAACGAGACAAGCTGTAGAGGACTCCCTCTACACATGCACCTTTGATTTCTTTCCATTTGTCGTTTTTTCCTGACAACCTTCAGGTTATTTTTAAAGTGGTTATTTTATACAGATTTATTATTTTATTATTAGAGTTTCTCTTTCCATGAAATTATTTATATTGTTATAGCTGATAGGATGAATTTTTTTATCTTTTGAGAAAAGCATTAATAATCTTTTAAGAAAGTTAGTGATGTATGATAACTAGTTAGAAAGAATTGTCGTATTTTGTTAAGTGATGATCCTGGTAAGTACATCTTATTTAGAACTCATGTTTGTAGATCATGTAATGACTTTTAATTAGTTTGTTCCCAGTAAAGCAATAAGACAGATTTACCCCTACTAAGGGAAACAGTATTCTTCTGAAATTAGTTTTTATGTCACATTTTTTATTTATTTGGGGGCACATTTTCAATTGGATATTTCTAGGTTAAGTAAAAGAAACTCTAGAATTTTCAATGGGCTATTTATTTAGTTTGGGGGAGCTGTGAATCCTGACACCAAACTGAGTAATAAGAACTATGTTTTGGAATTTATGCTCAAATGTAGAATATGTTTGATAATAGTTTTTTGTGCTGCAGCTGCGGTGAAATGATTGCTCTCCCATATCTGTGTCATAGCTTTTCTAAGCCACAGAGACGGTGTTGTTTGTAAAGCTCGAATATTAGTATAATCTTAAGAGCAGCATATTAATTGCCCGGGAGGTTTACATATTTGTTCTACACACGTGATTAAGGATCACGGCATCTTTTACAGCATAATTTTAGAGATGGAGAAAATGACTATTGTTAATACTTGCTACTCTCAGTTTCCTCTACAGCAATGCCCTTACACCTTTCTTTTTCAGGCATTTTGTAGCATCCTAAACAGAAGGATATTGAAGGGAGCTGATTCTGCTTTGATCCTTGTGCTTGTTGTCAAAGCGCTTGGGATTGAAGAGACTGTTGGCTACAATTGACTGTGACAATTAGGAGATGATCAGAGCCCTAGAGTGGAGCACTTAAAGGGTAATTTACATGTCAGTTTGTCGCATAAAAAAAAAAAGATATTCAGCTAAGATTTTTTTCCCTTCAGAGCCTTGTAAACTGCAATTTGTGCTCTGGTAAGAAAAACCTGGCAGAGGAGTTAGGATAGCCATTACCATTTGAAAAGAAGCAATCATAAGGCCGCTGCTGAGCCCTTTGTCCACTAAAAATGCTGATTTGCAGGCAGTGAGTGAAAAAGTGGAACCGTCACTAAATAAAACGTAGAGTTAGGTAACTACCTCCCCCCCCCCCCCCGGTGACTTTTTAATGTTGGTTAAAGGTGCTTTTTAAAAAACATATCTTAAGTCCTACACTGACTATCATTATAACATTGTTATTGGTCATGAATGTTCTTTCCTAAAAACATAATAAAAGGATGCATTGAGGAAGTGGTAGGTGGAACGCGCGCCAACAGTCATTTGAAAGGCTAGAGCTGGCTATCAGTTGAATCTTATTCTTTTCCCTTTTGTACACCATCACAATTTTCTAGTCATCCTTTGCGCTATTTTCCCCCTACTGTATCAGGGTGCTCCTAGGTTTTTCCATTTTTTATTTATACTCCAATTTTAAAGTAGAACTGTACTTCTAACCTTTGCATATTTAGCCTATTTGGGTGTATTTGGCTAAAAAATAACGTAGTTTCAGTCCATGATTTGCTATCCACATGTGGTCATCTCTATACTTTTCTATTAGGTAATCCATATAAACAAGTAAACAAAAATAGCTAGAAAGCTAAAAAAAAAATAATTGACGGTAAATATATGCTGATCCATTTAATTGTCAAATAGAATTTAAAAAATTAGTTCAGAAGCATTTTTGTCTCCCCTCACCCACTGGAAATCATTAATAATAAAAAATAATAACATATAGTTGCAAGATTTTCATTTGGATAATTGTCTGAAGAAAAAAGTTAATCTATCAACATAAGCATCCTATCCAGACATTTAAATTTGGTGTGTGTATTTAATTCAGATACGTATTAACTTTCGATGGCGGATATATCTTATATTCCATTTTTTGGATACTCGGCTATGGTGAAGGCCATTCGCAGAAAGGCAGCAGAGGGTTAGGAATGAGTTTGTCTTTATTCTAAAACGTTAGCCTTTATTGATGAGAGCTAGGAACATGCATGTCCTTCAAAAGCCAGAGTTTCCAGCAGCCAACTGCTGTTCTGGACACTGTATGTTGAGTTTTAAGGCTGCCCTTCCATTAAAGACGTTCACTAACTTTCAAATAAGAGGGCTTTATTTCTCTTCATTTAGTCCAATACCTTAACAACAACACATTTTTTTTCCCCAAAAGATGCCTTACAAAAGGAGTCACATTATACTTTTCAGAGTTTATGAAAATCACAATAGTCAATGTGGAGACAGGTTGAAAGAAGTCAGTAATTCAGAGGCAGATGTGGGGTCTCCTGTCTGCTTTGCAAGGAAGACCCTGAGCTTTTTTGGAAAGTTTTTCAACTCTCTAGTTTTCCTGTGTGCATGGCTCCCCTTGCAAAGAAGAACACACAGCAAGAAAAAAAAAAAAAAAAAAAGTGAATAAGTGCATAGGTTATTAAGTACAAAAAGGATAATGAGAGAGAGAGTCAGAGAAGGGCTGGGTTTCCTTAGCATGTGTCTGGAGAAGGCAGGCAATGGTAAATTTGTATCAAAAATCAGGCACAGCAGGAGGTGTTCATCTCCCAGGTAATGGGTAAATGATGAGCAGATGAGCCATCCTTATATTGATGTAAGTATTTTGTTCCAGCCAGTCACAATTAACTTTGATTTGTTTTTACTTTCCTCTTATAGGTTTGCATTTAAAACATTCTTGGAGCACTAATTGTATAAAATTCTGGTAACTGCACATTTTCTTTTTAGAGAGGTAATGAGTGAATGAATGAAAAGGCAGGGATTATTTGCCATTCTAAGCGGGGATTGTCAGAACATTTCTACTTGACTGAAATTGTTTTGGAAGGTGAGCTGGAACAAGAATCTTGCAACTAAAATGAAGTGACTCTGCATGTGGTTCTTGGGTGTTTCTCTTCATCAAAGAATTCTGCAGAACTGCTGAATTACAAGTTGATTTAAATTTTATTTATGAGAGAATATTTAGGTGAATCCAAAGAAAACATTTTAGAGTATGCATATTTGACTCTTAACAAGTAAATAGGAGTCTTTGAGAGCTCATTTGGAACTATTTGAAATGAGTTTTCCTAACACCAACATGGTGTTTTTTTCAATATACAAATTGCCATGTTCTGACAAAATAAATTATTGAAATGCTTTGAAAAGTTTTTGGAAATGTACCCAAGGAAACAATATGTAAATTGTTTGAGTTAATACACATGTCAATTTATCAAAATGCTGCCACTGATGTAGAGAATGTACTTGAGGACACGGGGAGGGGGAAGGGTAAACTGGGACGAAGCCAGAGAGTGTCATGGATTTATATATACTACCAAATGTAAAATAGATAGCTAGTGGGAAGCAGCCACATAGCACAGGGAGATCAGCTCAGTACTTTGTGACCACCTAGAGGGGTGGGATAGGGAGGGTGGGAGGGAGATGCAAGAGGGAGGAGATATGGGGATATGTGTATATGTATAGCTGATTCAGTTTGTTATAAAGCAGAAACTAACACACCATTGTAAAGCAATTATACTCCAATAAAGATGTTAAAAAAAAAAGCAGAAAAGAAAATGCTGCCACTGAAAAGTCCTAGAACCTTTAGCATAACATTCCGGAACATTTACTGTCTTGTTTAAAGGTGCAGCTCTTTCTTTGTACTTGTTTGAAGGTGGCAATAGAGTTACCAGGTTTAGCAAATAAAATTAAAGAATTCCTAGTTAAATTTGAATTTCTGATGAACAGTGAATCATTTTTCAGCATAAATAGGTCCCATCACTCTTTGCATTTTATTTGGCAACCCTAGATGGCACTCTGATTAGACAGACATTGCAACCATGCATTGAATAGACAATTTAATTATTTATAAAATATAAAATGTCATTTATAAATCATTTTACCTTTCACTATCAGAATAGGGCAACAAACTTGCCCCTTTAAATAGAAACCACAGGACTTTTAAACTCATCAATGCTGAGTTTAATATCCCCTGTCATTTTCCTAGGGCAAGCTGTGACTTGTCATTTCGAGCATATAGTCATTTCAAATGTCTGACTAATATCATGGAGACTTCAGAGAAGGTGGCTGAGGAGTCTGGCTTACCTACATTGATCAGTTCTACAGAGAACTGAATGATGCAGTGGGGACATTTTTGCGAAGCCACATCTTTTCTTTTGTGGTAGGATTGTGACTGCATATACACGTACTTATGTTACTGACCCTCCCAAGTTGGTGCCCATCTAGATCCTTCTGCCTGGTGTCAAACAAGCCAATAGAATGAGACTAAGTTTGGTTCAGAAGCAAAGGAAAGCTTTATTCTTGGATCAGAGAATGGAGAGGCGTGAGCTCCCGCTCTAGAGCCTCAGGCTTTCCCTATCAGGTCGTGGGTGGGGCTGCTTTACAGGCTTCTCATCAGCGGGAGGGGAGGGGGTTGAGTTCTCCCGGGGCGCGCAGCTGTGCCGCTCACGCTCCAGATGGCAGTGCCGGGCGCAGCGTCTCTTCGCACGGCCCTCTGCCGCCATCTTGAATTGAGTGTTGGGCTCCGCGTCTGCACACAATCTTGAGCTGAGGCGTCCAGTGCGGCCATTTTGCTCTAGGAACAATGGTCAGAAGCGCCGGGCGCAAGGCCTCTGCACACAACCGCCTATGAGCAAGTGAAACGACCAAGGACAAAGAAAAAAAAAAAGGTTAGGCTTTATTTTATTATCCTCTGTTTTTATTTCTGGGTGACACATATGTATGTAAATATGTATATATGACCAAGTTTGAAACTCTTGTAATTCTGATCCTGGTAGCATCTTCTGGGAAGGGAAAGATTCAATGCACTTTTTTTTTTTTTTTTTTTTGGTTCGGGGGGCTCTCACTGTTTTTGCCTCTCCCGCTGCGGAGCACAGGCTCCGGACGCGCAGGCTCAGCGGCCATGGCTTACGGGCTCAGCCGCTCCGCGGCATGTGGGATCTTCCCGGACCGGGGCACGAACCCGTGTCCCCTGCATCGGCAGGCGGACTCTCAACCACTGTGCCACCAGGGAAGCCCTCAATGCACTTTTATTTCATTTAACTTTGTTCACCGTGACGTAGTTGCCATGAAAATAGCCAGGCGGGAAGTTTACTCAGTGCTCTGTGGTGACCTAAATGGGAAGGAAATCTAAAACAGCATGGATATATGTATAACTGCTTCACTTTGCTGTACAGCAAGAAACTAACACAACATTGTAAAGCAACTATATTCCAATAAAAATTAATAATAAATTAAAAAAATGAAGCTAAAACTTCCAGAAAATGAGATATCTGATTTATCTTTGGGGCCAGCATTTATTTTTGCTAGTATCATTTCTGTCGTAGTTCAGGCTACTGTGACAAACTTCCATAGACTGTGTGGTTTATAAACAACAGACATTTATTTCTCACAGTTCTGGAGGCTGGGGGTCTGAGATCAGAGCGCCAGCATTGCCAGATTTTGGTGACAACCCGCTTGCAGGCTGGCAAGGGGCCATCTTCTTCCTGTGTCTTTGCATTTTAGAAGGTGGAGAATTCTGGTCTCTTCAGTCCCTAATAAAGGCACTAATAATCCCATTCGTGAGGATGCCACCCTCAGGATACAATCACCTCCCAAAAGTTCTACCTCTTAATATCCTCACATCGGGGGTTAGTATTTCAACATACGAATTTTGGGGGGATGCAAACATTCAGTCCATAACAATTTCTCACTGTCTTGATGCTTTTTATGGTCTGTCCGAAAGACTATTTGTAGCAGAAAAGTTTGGAGCCCTGTTTCCTATCCTCCTAAGGCCCCTTCTAATTTCAATTATAGCTTCAGTGGACAGCTCCTCACAAGCCCAGGCCACCAGAACATTTTTTGAGTCTTCCCAGTTTCTGCCTCAGAGCCTTCTCCAGAACTGCAGAAGCATGCTGGATGCTTCCTCAAGCTTAGCATGGAAACGTGGGGGAGTTAACACCCTCAAGGGCAGCTCACAGCCGATGGGAGGCAGAAGTCTGTGGAAAAAAGTTCCAGCTTCCTGTCTTTTAGACAGGCAGTTCTGAGAGGCGCTTAGCATGCTTCTCAGAGGTCCCATCTTCAATAGCAGGATCTTATATCCCCTCATGGCACATTATTTGGCTTTTCCCTCAACCCTGCTTCATCCTCTCCATTTCCTCATCATTTCTAGGGATAACTAATATGCATCCATTCCTTGTCTCAAGGTCTGCTTTCAGAAGAACTCTAGCTAAGACACCTCTGATGCTCCTTTCCTCCCAGCCACCAGTTCTCTCCTTGCTCTAGGTTCAGATATTTTGCTTCCTTAGGTTACATCAAGGCTTCCTTTTCTTATTTTCAGAGGAAGAGAGTTCTGCCACTGTACCTACCTCGAAAACTGTCATATCGGTTACCAAGCACACATGCACATTTAACTCACCAGAACTCTCCTTTATAATAAAAAACACTTTTTATCAAACACCCACTATATGTGAGGGCATATGCTAAGGGATTCTTGAATACTGTTTCATTTAGTCCTCAGCATGTTACTGAGAAAAAATCAGTATTTCTATTTTACAAATGAAGAAACTGAGGTACGGAAAAAAATTAAGGGATTTCTTTCAAGACCACAAAGAAGCTGGTAAGTGGTAGAATAAGCACTGTGTTCTGATCTATCTGACTCCAAAGCCCATTCTTTTTTTTTTTTTTTTTTGGCCACGCCATGCGGCTTGTGGGATCTTAGTTCCCTGACCAGGGATTGAACCCGGGCCCTCGGCAGTGAAAGCACCGAGTCCTAACCACTGAACCACCAGGGAACTCCCCTTTTTTCTTTTTTTTTTTTTAATAAGTTTATTTATTTATTTGTTTTTGGCTGTGTTGGGTCTTCGTTGCTGTGCACGGGCTTTCTCTAGTTGGTGGTGAGTGGGGGCTACTCTTCGTTGCAGTGCACAGGCTTCTCATTGCTGTGGCTTCTCTTGCTGCGGAGCACGGGCTCTAGGTGCACAGGCTTCAGTAGTTGTGGCACGTGGGCTCAGTAGTTGTGGCTCACAGGCTCTAGAGCTCAGGCTCAGTAGTTGTGGCGCACGGGCTTAGTTGCTCTGCAGCATGTGGGATCTTCCCAGGCCAGGGCTCGAAACCGTGTCCCCTGCATTGGCAGGCGGATTCTTAACCACTGCGCCACCAGGGAAGCTCCCCTTTTTTCTTTTAATTGAGGTTTAATTTACTTACAACATTCTATTAGTTTCATTTCATTAGATCATTTCAGGGAAATGATCACCATAAAAAATCTAGTCACTATCAGTCACCATATAAAGTTACAAAACGTTTTTTTTATGATGAGAATTTTCAAGATCTACTCTCTCAGGAACCTTTCAATATGCAGTACAATACCATTGACTGTAGTCACCATGGTACACACCACATCTCCATGACTTACTCATTTCACAACTGGAAGTCTGTACCTCCCAACTTCCTTCACCCAGTTTTCCCGCCTCCAACAATCCTCCCACCTGGTAGTCTCTACTGTTTTCCATATCTTCAGGGTTTGTTTTGTTTTGTTTTGTTTGTTCATTTGCTTTATATTTTATATTCCACATAAAAGTGAGACCATACAGTATTTGTCTTTCTCTGTTTGACTTATTTCACTTAGTATAATGCCCTCAAGTTCCATTCACGTTATTGCAATGACAAGATTTCATTCTTTTTTTATGGCAGAGTAGTATTCCAGTGTGTGTGTGTGTGTGTGTGTGTACCCCACATCTTCTTTATCCATTCATCCTTTGAAGGATTCTTAGGTTGTTTCCATATCTTGGCTATTGTAAATAAAGCTGCAATGAGTGAATACACCTTTGCTACTTTAAGTAATGATTCAGTGACTATAGGGGTGCTTATGTCTTTCCCAATTAGTGTTTTTGCATTCTTTGGATAAATACCCAGAAGGGGAAATTGTTGTATTGTGTCATAATTCTATTTTTATATTTATATTCCCTTTATACCTACTTTATTGAGAGTTTTTATCATAAATGGATGTTGAATATTGCTGAATGCTTTTTTCTGCATCTATTGAGATGGTCATATAATTTTTATCCTTCATTTTGTTAATACGGTGTATCACTTTGATTTGCTAATATTGAGCCATCCTTGCATCCTGAAATAAATCCCACTTGATCATGGTGTATGATCCATTTAGTGTATTGTTGAATTTGGTTTGCTAATATTTTGTTGAGGATTTCTGCATCTATGTTCATCAGGGATATTGGCCTTTAATTTTCTTTTTTTTTCCCCTTTTTTTGTAGTGTTTTTGTCTGGTTTTTATGTCAGGGTAATGATAGCTTCATAAAATGAGTTTGGAAGTGTTCCCTCCTCTTC